AGAAGACCTTGTTGGCCTTCACGGCCCGCCTCGGCATTTAAAAGAGATGTGACTTCGCTTTCAGGGTGTGAGCTCTGCTTGTCCCATGAAAGGGTCCTTGCTTATACTCATCTGCCAGTTACTCAGCATTGGTTCAAGCAGACACACACGGTGTTTTGCAAGTGCATAACGTCACCAGCATTGTTTCAATACAAGCAAACTTGGACAAATGCTGGTGAACTGCCAGATGTTTAGAGGCAAGGACCCTTCTCTTACATACGAGACCTGGTTCGTTGCTAAGTGATATAATAAACAGCACAAAATAATCATGAGCGTCGTGCATAATGTAAGTCACAATAAATCTTCAGACATTACGCCTTCGTGACATATCTGCCCCTCCTCAGCACGTCTCACGCGTTGCCGCATGCGTGCACGTTGTGGGCTGCAGATGGCAGTGTAGCAGCATCTGTTGCACTCGAATTCTTTGCTCCCACATCTCTGCATATTCCCCACCTTCAACCTGCACTGATCAGCGTGGGAAGCCCCTCATCCAGTAGTGTATTGACAGAAGGCTGTGCACTGTACACATGGACGTGTACAGTGTAATACATTGGAAAGGATGAGTTGCAGCCTAAACAAATACATGTAAAATCTAAGATTCTTCTTTCAAAGTTCACATCCAAACAGTTATGCTTGAATGCAACACATCACGTTTTCAAGTATTTTTTTGTTTAACCAGGTGAAAACTGAAGAGACAAGACTGGTCTCATAATACAAGTTTTTGGATGATATTGGTCGCGAAAGCTTATGTGTTAAAAAGGCGAGTCTCATTTGCAAGAATGACCTGGAGTGTGAGTTATCCAAATAACTACCTGGACAACCAATTTATCATGCAAAGGTTATTTCCTTATTGGATACTGCTTTGTGTTTAGTATCATTCTAGCATTTTGCATTTTCAAAGTGTGTAGCTTAAAATTACTTTAGAAAGAAAAAACATTCTTTGTTGTCTTGTAGTTTGTGTTGAATAGTAAACTGTCGTGATTTATTTGACAGTTGTATTTTATCACTGCTGTATTTTACAATTGACCTTATTGATGCTTGACGGCACCAACTGCTTTCAAGGCATCATCACGTAACACATCAGAGTCCTCAAACCAACAACAGGCCCTATCTTATTCTATGTTGGTGAATTGTAGCAGCAAGCACGGAATTGGAGCCAGGGGAGATGAAGGCTCAGGGGCGGCAGCAGCAGCGATGGTTGAGGAGGAATCCTTCACCGGTGACACTACCAGGAGAGACAACTGTGGCCTGGGCCTGCAGCTGACCTCATCGCTGGACTTTGTGTCGGCTGGTCACTTCTGGTGCCCCCTGCCCATCGTTCTTCTGGACACGCCTCTTTCCTTGGGCCTTCTGGACATCCCTCTACGGCAGGGCCTTCAAAGTTCACCTTCCTGTGGACCTGACCTTCGGGACACCTCTTCCCTTTTCACATCGCTCCCGGTGTCTCCTTGCACATCTTTTTGACTGGAACATTGAACCAATGGTTGACTTTCTGCACAGGGTAGGATTTTTTGTTGTAAATATATTGGCTTCAGCAGCTATGGAGTCAATAAGTGGATATATGTTACAAGGTGTCGTCTACATCTCTGCCAATTTGCCCGCTCCTCTTTGAAAGCCTGAGTGTTTTCAGCTGCTCTTTCAAGTTACTGAGCCACGTTTATTTTGTATAAGTCCATCACATGACAGTAATCGCAAAGCAACCGTCTAATATTTTGTTTTTCTTGCTGACAACTTCCTTGACCACTGGTGTTTTATTGGTGCGGATGAGCTGATATATAAGCGTACTCGTTTGATGAGACTCAAAATGCACTTCTGTGGGAGTGAAATGGGTAAAGCTGTTTCTGGTTGAGTTTACCATTGCTCTAGGTTACTAATATGTTCACTACTTAGCATGTTCTCCTGGGTTTATACAATACCGCTGATGAAACTGTGCTCCCTAGAGTGTTAATAATGCTCACTTTTAATGAGCACATTACATTTCTAAGCACAAGACGTTCCATCTGTGTCGAATGCACAAGACCCCAATATTTGGTTATTATGGTCTGAAGGGGTTTTCCATTTATTCCGGTTTAACTAAATTAGTAAGCACACTATATTTAACAGTGTAGGCTTTTGCAACCAACTTTATTAAATGGCTGTGTCGGGTGAAGGAGGGTTTAAACACACACATCCGACCCAAAATTCAACAATGAATCAGGCACCCAATATGCATACAATATCTGGTCCCCCACAAAAAGAGGTCAACAATGATTTACACGTCCCATCAGCTGCATAGGCTACTGTGGGTGCATCATTTTAGCAGTATCGGTTCAAAATAATAAACTGGATCGGATTTTACATTTCGTGTCTTATTAGCAGTCAGGCATATTTGAACGAATACTGGTGAACTGCCAGATGCTTAGAGACAAGGACCCTCTCTTTTAGACATGGATGTTAGTTTGACACTAAACTATATATGACACAAAATAATTGTGAATGTCCTTTTGGAGTGTATTTCGAACGATATATTATTATAAAAAATATATTTCGTTAATTATATTCTCCAAAATGTCACTAATGATAATTATGTATTGGTACTTACATCCAATTTGCTCCCAAGTAGGTGTACGAGAGGACTGTTAAGCTGGGATCAAAACAAATGGAGTGCTGTGCAAAAGTAAAGAAAAAGTTAGACTTCCAAGTTGGACCAATTTCGTGTTACGTGGCCCACTTAAAATTCAACCAAATACTGGAGAAAGGTTCGCAGCCTTTGAACTACTCTACTTGTAGAATAAACCTCACACGTTTCTTAACACTGCATAATGCAATCATCCGGTGTGAACTGTGATCCACATAAACACCGGTGCTTTCCATTGGGGATAATGATCACATTTACTACCATTGCAAAACTTTCTACAAAGGCTGCACATCCATATAAAAAAGTTGTGCGGTCCCTTCTTGATAACATTAAACATCAAATTAAGAGTTCTGTGCTTGTGTGTTTACTTCAAGGTTGGGGTGTGATGCATGATTAATACCGTGGGTGGGTTTAGGATAAATGCCTCGTGCTGTCTACCTCGCAGTGGATGTTAAAGGTCCCGTTGTGTTATTCGAAGAAGAGTGGGCCATTGTGGGCTGGTGTCATGGTCCAAATTTACCAAATTGTAAAATTACACTGCAGAAATATACTTGATGAGGAAACACCTCACAAATCATCGCCTTCGGCTGTGATAACGTAGCAGCACCCTCCTGGGTCTCAGCCTCAGCCCTGGTTGGCCGTTTGGATGTCAGCCGTTAAACCCCATTTCATTGGGATGCCATGGTCGGGGTGACTTCCAGATGGATGTGCTGTTCATGCTATCACGTGACCCACATGAGTGAGTGCAATGTGATCGGTGGAAAAGCTTTTTTCCCACACCCAGCTTTTCCAAAGCTTCTTTTTACGTATGCATATTGAATTTTTCTCACCATACGTAGCTGACCCTGTTAATCGGAGGTGCTTCTGTTGAAATGCTTCAGCTTACTGACACGAGGCACAAAATAAATAAACAGACAATACTCTTTCCACATCTGTTCCTCCACACTAAAGTGTTTTGTGAATGGAGTGAGACCACCGCGGGTATGGAGCGATGAGATCAGCTTCCGCAGGAGGGAGATGGATTGTGGGGAGTGCTTCATGCAGCAGTGACTGATGCTGGCTGCTGACTTAAAAAAAAAAATCCAACGTGAATATTTCTGCATTGACTTGGGAGCCCTGCAGGTGACATTGCAGTGAGCCTGTGTGTCAATACCGGCGAGCTGTCCATGTGAAGCCCATTACAGTGAATGCAATAACATCTTAATGTGGATTCATATATCTATATCTACGTCTACACTTCATGTCAAGGTGGCGTGCATAACAGTGGGACATGTTCATCATGGGGAATACTTATACGGTGTGTATGTATACACGGTGTGTATGTATTGTATTATTACATATACTGTATTGTTGAGAGGAGAGACAAGTCAGTCCTTGGCAGAGGAGAAGAGGAAGGCTTTGAGTCTTGCCTTGAACAGGGGCAGGGAGTTGGCGCAGGGGGCTGGGGAGGTAGAGTTGAGATCACGGGGGCAGCAGAGGGAAAGGAGCAAATGGACAGTCGTTGGTGTATAACCATCACAATGAATGTGGGCTAGATATCGATGTGTAGTCCAGCAATGAACACTGTGAGGTCCTGATCTTGGAATGCAATCAGTGAAACCGACATTGTTGATTGTCGCAAGGCTCATCTCCATTGCTCAGGCGCTTTGTGTAAATACGGCCTTTGCAGCCTCAACTTGAATGACCAAGTTAGGGGCCATCCATTTAGTACGTACGCATGGAGGGGTGAGGGGGGGTTAACCTAAATGCGTACGCTTGCTTATGGGGGGTCTACTGAAATATTTACGTACGCATAGGAAACGGGGGGGTGGGGGGGGTGAAGCCTCGATAATTAATAAGTTGTCGACATTGGCCTTCAAATGAGGCACGGTTCAGTTTATTCAGCTGTCAGACAAGTACCTACTAAATGGATGGCCCTTACGTGAAAATACCATCAATTACCATCATCATCACTATCATCACAATCCCCACAATACAATATCATCACTATCAGCATCACCACCATCGGCACCACGGCAATCATCACCAATTCTACCAGAGACACGAATTGAGTACACCTCTGTGGTACAGACACTTGAGTTTAATTTCCTTTTGATCCATGTTAATATGTTTTTTTATAAGACTAAATGAAAGTGAGGTGCACTATGAACCTGGCGAACCGAGTTTGATTCCCGGCCACGGATAACAATACTACCGTATTTGCTACATGTGTGTCAATTAACACTAAAAGTTTGCAAATTAGATGTTTCGTCTCAATATTTTAATTTTAAAAACCCATCGTTGAGTAAACGCTGTGATTGTTCTGGTGGCCGTGGCTGGAACCACGTGTTGTTGTTCACTGTAGTCTCTGGAGGAGCTAAATGGACTGGGGCCAGGCCGGGATAAGGAGAAGAAACGTCTGAGCACATTCTCCATGATTCTGGGCAAAGGACGCAGCCGCAAGTCGGAGCCCTATCACCACGAAGGTACCGGCGCCACCCGGCGCCCGCACACACCCAGCCTCGGCCAGCGGTCGGCAGTCGCAGTGGCAGATACGAAGTGACAATAAAAAAAAACAGACTAAGTGCCTCGTTCACGTCTGTCTCTCCGCACGAAAAATGAAAGTTTTTTTGACATCTCATCAGCCACATGGCCTTCTGGGAGTGCATGATTTCAGCATGGGTTTAATACAAGCAATCTCTGGACTGGTTTTGACTTTCAGTGACTCATCAGCAGGGTCAGCCTCGCTTGAACCAATGCGGGCGAACTGCCAGACGTTTATAGGAAGGGACCCTCGCTGGGTCCTCGTGGGCAGTCGCACTTTATCGAGTCCCCATGGGGGAGGTAGAACAGCCATCATTTGCGGAGTCCTACTCGGTTTAGTGTGCAAGATCTAAATCTTTTAACAATAAAATAAGGCTATGCATATGCAGATAGGCACTGTTCATATATGGACTCGGCCAGGTGGCTCCGTAGGAGAGTTAGCGGCTCGCAGACGGAAGGTTGCGGTTTCATATCCTGGTTGAGGGTTGGCTCAGCTCTAAACTCCCTCCAGCATCAATACAATATGTGATTTTGTGGGGAAGATAACAGGGGTTGTCCTCTGGATAGCCTCGTCTCCACCATAGGAATGTGGAACTTTTAACCACTGGCTCAGGGCTGTAAATAGGAGATGAGCACCGACTCGATGTTCACTTGAGTAGGGAATCCCTTTGACTGTATCCCAACAGCTAGACGTGACTGAGCGACTATGCAGTAGCGATCGATGTTGCTCTGACTGCTGCATGGTCGCTGTCTGCACAGTGATGACCCCGCAGTCGAGTCCAGCTCACGGGCTGCTTCCTCTGGCGCACCCCGAGGCCGTTCTCCTCCCCCCGTGTACTGGGACACTCCCCGGAGCGCTGGGGGGGGCATCCGCTGGAGATCCCGTGACTAAGCTGCAGCAGGCCGAGGCTGCCCGGGTACGGAGATTGTATCCACAGTAAACTCCCCCCCCACCATGATTGTTTTCAGTGACCTCATCCGATTATCTCACTCCATAATCTCACTCCATGACAACATTCCATGTTGATTCTACAGATTCGTTTTTCAGTAACAAGAATTTTTCTTTTTATAATTTTGCATCAAATTCTAAACACAGTTCATCACAGATTCCCTCCCATTGTCTTATTTTACAAGCTCTTATAATAACTTTAATCAATTAAATAAACGTGTTTGCACTTACCTATTATAACTTTGAGAGTTGTTTGCCAGCTGCTTGACATTTTAGGCCTCTGTGCTTAGCAACTGTGTTCAAACATAAAAGACCCAGCACATTTGGCAAGGTAGAACTCCCACGGCACAGAGCGGTGTGCCATTTCAGGCAGCTCGGCACAACATACAACCGGCGTCATGGTCCTCATCGCCAAATGAGAAAAATGAGCGGAAAGTGATTCGCTTGGGACGATGCACAGCACAATCATCGCGCCCTCTTAGCGTCCTGATGCCCACTCACAGGCCACTCTTCGTTGCCTTGTGCCACATAAGGACAGCTGCGATCAGGGGGCCCGCTTGGCTAAAAATAAAACTATAATCTGAGCCGCGAATGTAGGGTTTATTTGTGCGCCACACTCACATGCGATTCCTGCTACCATCTAGTGGCAATATCTGGAAAAAAATATTGGACGTAAGGACAAACCATAATGAACCTCACGCAATATGAAATTTTCAAATTCACAGAATTAATGTTAAAAGTGGCTGGCTGCTGGGTGACGTGCATTTGAACAACCCATGGCTGTGCGACGTTTAAGCTACGCGCTGGTGTACGTGCAGCAATGCTGTTAGATGAGAGGCCTGGTGGCCCGGTGGTTCAGCAATAGAGCGAGTGGCTCGCAATCATAAGGTTGCAAGTTCATATCCTGGTTAGAGATTAATTTGGCCCATCATCCTTCCAGGATCGATAAAAATAGGTTCCAAATTGTGCGTAAGTCAACAGTGGTTGTCCTATCGATAGATCTGCCACCACCATCGTCACCGCTAAGCCATCAATTGGACCATTTTGAATGTTTCTCCAGGTATTGTGAGCCATTGCCCCAAGCCAGGCCTCCTGGATAGGCATAAGAATGAGGAATTTCCGGCAATGGCTCAGGGCTGTAAACGGGAGATGAGCACCTCCTCAATGCTTATTTGACAGTGGAGTGGTGGGCCAGTGAAGTGCTGATTGCAATTGACCTTGGCCCTACAGCATCACCTGGTTTAGGATCTCAACATTGGTGTGTGGTCCCACAGGTGACAGCCATGTCTCGCTGGAAGTCGGACACCATCCTGGCATGGCTGGAGCTCAACATGTCCATGCCTATGTACGGAAAACACTGCCGGGAGAACATAAAGAGTGGCAAGGTAGACACGGCAAGAACCACACCGGCACGTGCTTGCAGCGTAGCGATTCATAATCACCCTGGCACCCCGCGGCCCGCCGTACAGTCATTCAGTTGATACACAGACGAATGGGAAGGGCGATTGGCAGAGGAGCTTTAGACACAAACTGCCGCTGAACTTTTAATATGCTGCTCGATTTTCAATAAAAATTTTAATCGCCCCACATAAATATTGCCTGAAGTGAATTAGATTAGATCAGGCGTGCATTTACAATTAGAGGAGTAACAGACAATGAATTGGACATCGGGGATCATGTTTTTAAAGGATTGTGATTATTACTCAACACATCGCATTGTCTCTCACTTGCGATATATTCTGCAAACCACCTCTGATTTTTCTTGAGGACGCTACAAGAGATGCACGTCAGATACTGTGGGGGAGGAGAAGGTGGCAAGCAGTAAAAATTCACTAACCTGCCCCTGTATAAAGCAAACGTGGGCACACGCGCGTTCTGCACGAGTGAGGTGTCATTGATTTCTGACCTCGTGAAACACTTTCATACATGCACGTCTAAGTACGTGTTAGAAGACACGAGTAATTACGCGTGTTTGCATATTCTAATTTTTTAAATGCTCATGCGCACATGGATACGCACCATGTAGCTCAGCTGTGGCGTGTGTGCCACTTGTTGCAGAGATTCGTGGCTTGAATTCGGCAGGCCACCCTGGTTATACTATGGTGCTGCCTATTTGCCATTTAATATTGCGCATCGCCTGCTTCACAGTGGACGTTAAAGGTCCCATGACGTCATTAAAAAACATTAGGCCATGGGTGCTGCCATCATGGTCCACATTTTTTTCATTTCACCGCAAATTACAAATTGCTTGATTGGGAAACACAGCAATCGCGAACCTGAAAACTTAGCAGGACCCTCCTGAAAGTAGTCTTGAGACTCAGTGAGGCTTTCCTAGTTCAACAAGCGTAATAACAAGCACTTGTATGTGTGTATGTCCAGACACATTCACATGCAAGCGAGTGAACGTGTAGTTTTATGTGGAGACATGAGCCCACAAATTGACTCGGACTTGCGTGCACCGACAGGTCCCCAGTCACGCAGGCTCGGCGTCCATGAGCTGCGTGTATTTTATTGGCTACTTCCTACCACCACTTGTCACCGGCCATCACTTGTTGCTCGCTTCCTCTCAGCGATGCCTCTCATTGCCGGCAGGTTCTGCTGGGGCTGTCCGATGAGGAGCTGGAGAAGGCACTGGGGGTCGCTAATCCTCTGCACAAGCGCAAGTTGCGTCTCGCTATCGAAGACTATCGGCAGGCGGAGCAGGATAGCAGGTGTTGAATCACAGTTGCTCTAGTCCTGATTTAGCTCCCTTTGTCTCTTATACTCATTACATCTTCCAGTGTGTCCAAACTGCTCGTAATTTATAATAAGAAATAATCATGGACTGGTTTCGATATTCAGTGTCTGATCGGCAGTCAGGCTTGCTTGAACCAATGCTGATGAACTGCGAGATTTTTGCATCAGATCAAACAGGCTTGACTGCTGCTAAGACGCTGAGTGTAAAAATTAGTCCAGGTCCAGAGATTACTTGTATTTAACCACTGCTGCTAAAATTATGCTTTGCCAGAAGGCGGTGTGGCTGATGGGATGTGTAAAAAACCTTTTTTTGGAGGGACAGATATGGGAGGAAGCAATTTTTATATTTTTCTTCTGCACGTAGTTGTGTGTCCGTGCACGTGCCGTGCTTGTGCATGCTATCATTCTCTCCCTGCTGGTATTGGTGGGCCCCAGCCGGTGCTGTCTGTCGCGAGCGTCCGAGTTGGACCACCACTGGGTGGCCAAGACGTGGCTGCGGGACGTGGGGCTGCCCCAGTACGCGCAGGTCTTCCACTCCCAGCTGGTCGACGGGCGTGTGCTGGGATCCTTGGGCCGCAAGGTAGAAGCCCTCTGTGTTTTGTGAATTTGTGACCAAAAATGTTTTACTGAAAACATGAAACTTTAACTTTGGGCAAAATAACCAAATGTACCCATCACAAATCCTGCAGTTGTCTGAAAATCACTTGGTTCTGGGGTTAAGTCAAGCCATTGACATGGTCGAGCAGTAGAAACTCCGACTGAGATTAAATACATGTCATGGGGGCATTTCACACACGTTGCCTGTTTGTTGCTCTTGTTTTAGGAGCTGGAAAAGCTGCTGGGAGTCACATCTAAGTTCCATCAGACAAGCATTTTGCACGCGATCGAGCTTCTGCGAAGCGTGGCCTTCGATCGCGAGGCAAGTGCCTCCTCCTCCTCCACCAGTCCACACTGACCCTCCTTGCTCAACTCACCCAACACCTGCCCTGCTCATCGCCACTGCCAGTCGGGGCGGTGACATGGCTGAGAGGCAGCGCATTCACTGCCTGTTGCAGAGGTTCATAGGTCGAATCTGGATGGCTGCCCTGGTTAATACTGTGGTGCGTATTAACTCTAAAGTATTACACGCTGTCTGCTTGACAGTGGACTCTCAAGGTCCTGTGACACTTTGTGTTCCGGTGCCACTTGCGATCATCGCCCTCTATTGCAGGACCCTCCTGAACAAGAGTCTTGAGACTCGGTGAGGCTTTCCTTCGTAAACAAGCGCATCAAGATAACAGCCACATGTGCAACCGGATGGTGTCTTATTGGCCTCGATATGCGGTGGCTCTTGCAGGAGCTGAGTCGGCGCCGCCAGCTATGTGAGGTGCGGGATGTGGACACGGTGGTGTGGACAAACCAGCGGGTCATGCAGTGGGTCCGCAATGTCGACCTGAAGGTGAGCGATACACTCACCAAAATCTAAACCATCAGTGCTACCATACAGAGCGCAGATGTGGCCTAAGTTCAAATATTGTCCCATTTTCGGTGTAAAATCTTCCCCATGTCAAAAGATGGGAGAAAAAGCACCAGCTGCTCAACTGGTGGGGCCGTGAGGCTGCTCACAGCCTCCGCAGCCCCAATTCGGCAGCTGGCGCTAGTGCGGGCCAATCTCCCTCTATTGAGCAGCATGCCGCTTCAGAGGATCTCCAGTTAGAGACACACGCGGAAGAGTAGAGCAGATGGCGACACCAATCATCAAAAAACAGTTTTTACCAGGTACAAAACCCAATGTTTGCCCACTCGCGCATTTGCCTGCTCGTGTTGAAATTGAGCAGATGCGTCCGTCTCCCCACCCTCACCAGCAGGAGTTTTCTGAGCACCTGGTGAGCAGCGGTGTCCACGGGGCGCTGCTCGTGCTGGAGGGCAGCTTCACGGCCGAGGGCTTGGCGGCCATGCTGAAAATTCCGCATAACAACGCCTTCCTGAGGCGACACCTGGCCTCCGAACTCGCTGTCATAGTCGACCCCAGCAGGTGGGTCCCAGCCTGGCTTGAACCGCAAGCGTGACGCACGACCGCCTGTCGGATCGCTGGAAGGCAGCAAGCCAATGCATGGATGCGCAAATCCGCAGCGGCGCTGTGCAGCGCAACGCGTGGCGGTGCCACGTGGTGCCGTCGGCCCGTCGTTGCTTCGCTGCGGCTCGCTGTCCTCGCATCTTGCGGCGTCGCGAGTTGGCATTTGTGCGTTTTGTAGAGTGCCGTGGATTAGCGATGTGCTTTGTTCTCCTAATGTGTGATGTGGGGTGTTGAAAAATGAATGCACTTGAAACTCGCTTCCCTGCACTGGTAAAGGACACTTGGCATGATTAACCTTACTAGTCTGATATAGAGTGAGGGAAAAAAGTATTTAATCCCCTGCTGATTTTGTACATTTGCCCACTGACAAAGAAATGATCAGTCTATAATTTTAATGGTAGGTTTATTTGAACAGTGAGAGACACAATAACAACAAAAAAATCCAGAAAAACGCATGTCAAAAATGTTATAAATTGATTTGCATTTTAATGAGGGAAATAAGTATTTGACCCCCTCTCAATCAGAAAGATTTCTGGCTCCCAGGTGTCTTTTATACAGGTAACGAGCTGAGATTAGGAGCACACTCTTAAAGGGAGTGCTCCTAATCTCAGCTTGTTACCTGTATAAAAGACACCTGTCCACAGAAGCAATCAATCAGATTCCAAACTCTCCACCATGGCCAAGACCAAAGAGCTCTCCAAGGATGTCAGGGACAAGATTGTAGACCTACACAAGGCTGGAATGGGCTGCAAGACCATTGCCAAGCAGCTTGGTGAGAAGGTGACAACAGTTGGTGCGAATATTCGCAAATGGAAGAAACACAAAAGAACTGTCAATCTCACTCGGCCTGGGGCTCCATGCAAGATCTCACCTCGTGGAGTTGCAATGATCATGAGAATGGTGAGGAATCAGCCCAGAACTACACGGAGGTATCTTGTCATTGATCTCAAGGCAGCTGGGCACATAGTCACCAAGAAAACAATTGGTAATACACTACGCCGTGAAGGACTGAAATCCTGCAGCACCCACAAGGTTCCCCTGCTCAAGACAGCACATTTACATGCCCGTCTGAAGTTTGCCAATAAACATCTGAATGATTCAGAGGACAACTGGGTGAAAGTGTTGTGGTCAGATGACACCAAAATGGAGCTCTTTGGCATCAACTCAACTCGCCATGTTTGGAGGAGGAGGAATGCTGCCTATGACCCCAAGAACACAATCCCCACCGTCAAACATGGAGGTGGAAACATTATGCTTTGGGGGTGTTTTTCTGCTAAGGGGACAGGACAACTTCACCGCATCAAAGGGACGATGGACGGGGCCATGTACCGTCAAATCTTGGGTGAGAACCTCCTTCTCTCAGCCAGGGCATTGAAAATGGGTCATGGATGGGTATTCCAGCATGACAATGACCCAAAACACACGGCCAAGGCAACAAAGGAGTGGCTCAATAAGAAGCACATTAAGGTCCTGGAGTGGCCTAGCCAGTCTCCAGACCTTAATCCCATAGAAAATCTGTGGAGGGAGCTGAAGGTTCGAGTTGCCAAACGTCAGCCTCGAAACCTTAATGACTTGGAGAAGATCTGCAAAGAGGAGTGGGACAAAATCTCTCCTGAGATGTGTGCAAACCTGGTGGCCAACTACAAGAAACGTCTGACCTCTGTGATTGCCAACAAGGGTTTTTGCCACCAAGTACTAAGTCATGTTTTGCACAGGGGTCAAATACTTATTTCCCTCATTAAAATGCAAATCAATTTATAATTTTTGACATGCGTTTTTCTGGATTTTTGTGTTGTTATTCTGTCTCTCACTGTTCAAATAAACCTACCATTAAAATTATAGACTGATCATTTCTTTGTCAGTGGGCAAACGTACAAAATCAGCAGGGGATCAAATAATTGTTTCCCTCACTGTAGGTCACACATACTGTATTTGCTGCTCTAGCCATCCAAAGGCTATCAAACGAAGACCGATATTTATGATTTCGTTTCTATAGAAAGATTATCACTTATGGAATCTTGCTGAGGATGGCCAGTTAAATGTGGTCTGTTTTTATTGTGTATTTAGAATGTTAGTGGGTGATAGGTGATAGGTTTATGAATTGTGAATATGAAGGGTGTTTACTTGGAATAAAATAAAATCGTCAGCTGAAAGGCCTTCTAGTAGGCGCCGTGGGTAACACTTGTGCCTCACAGCGAGATTCCCGACTTAGGCGTAGAGTTTTGTATGTATGTATGTAGAGTTTTGTATGTATGTATGTAGAGTTATGTATGTATGTAGAGTTTTATGTTCTCCAGTGTTCTGCATGACCTCTGCTCTAGGTTATCTGGTTTCCTCCCATTGTATAAGAACACATTGTAACTCTATTGGTTAAACATCTCAGAGGTTAAATAATTCCCAGAAAATTACTTGGGTAATGTTGTTCAGTGCTGCCACGCCACTCTCACCTCGTGCTGCCAATGGGAAGATGTTTTGTGGTCTCCACAGTCCGTTCTTCTGGCTGCTGCTGCCGCCTTTGGCCCACATGTCCCCTTCCTGCTCCACCGTCGGCTGTTGCTGCTATTTATATGTGTTATTATTACTACTACTACTACTCTTGTTTACCAAGAAAAGCCTCACTGAAAATGACTCGCAATTAGAAGTTTGTGAGTTCAAATCCTGGTTGAGGTTTGACTCAGCCAACCATCCTTCTAGGGTGGATGAAACAGGAACCGCTTTGTAAAAAAGTCAGCAGCAGTTGTCATATGGAGAGACTCACCACTATGGAGAGCAGGAAATCACTTTCACTTTTTAAGTGTAAAGGTATTTTATTGAGTGTTTAGTTTTTCTCATTTTTGCAGTTGTACATATGAAGTACCTTGCCTTTTACTGCAGTGTCCTCAACTTTGTAATTGGATGATATTCCTTTTCTTTCCAATGGCATTTGAAAAAGCAACAAGCTACAATTGTACTTTTAATTTTATCAGCCATTCTGCAGCATCGGAGATAGCTAAGTGGAATCCGCTTGTTCCACCAGAATACGTGGCATGTAATGGGCAATCATCACCACATTTGCAGTTTGGTGAGCCCGTGATCTTCAATTTATGAAGGAAATATGCACACCGTGTCCACTTGTTGTTGGGACGCGGTTGAGAGCTGTTCCCACTGTCGCCGGAGCAGCAGAGAGAAACCCAGAGGGCTCTTCCTCGCTTCTTCGGTGCCTTTCTTGTTTGGGAATCCGCTTTTCCCCACATCTCATGCGATTAGGTGGCACTGGGATCCGTTTCGGCCGACAGAAGAGTTGAGGCGCGAGTCCACAACGGACGTCTCCACCTTAGACGAGGGGGAGGGTGGTGGGGATTCGCTGTCGATGTGCAGAGGGAGATCCCTCAGTGTTGCAACATCCTCTGAGATGTTCAATGGCGGGATGCTCGCGAGTACTGGCAGCCACTGCAATGGCGTAGATGTTAGCGAGCCACCCACCGCACACTGCGCAGCGTTGAGTGTCAATGAGCACGATGGGAGAGCTGCTGCATCAGACACGCGTAGCGCAGTGTTCTATCATAGAATGGAGCATGGCCTGTGTTGATGTCCGAAGGGTCCCAGCGTCAAATCCCTAGGGAACCCCTGACAGCTTTTGGATGATATTGACCCTTGATTTTGTCTTTTCTGCTGGTGGATTCGAGGTGACGGCAATAGCCCACAGTCAAGTCGAGAGTGATTCTGAGGTGATGGCCAAGGGGGGCTGTGAGAGAATTTGACCTTGAGTGGGCTTCAGGCTTCAATGTTGCTAAAATGCGAAGGAGGCTGCTCCAATAACTAATTTGCATGGGACGTTTTTGTCAGTATCAAAGTAGGAAAAATAAGAATAGGTTTTACCCGTCACGTCATAAAACAGGTGTTAACATCTGTTTAACACGTAGGCTTTCGCGACCAATATCATCCATAATAGAGGTTTTTGGGTTAAATCGCGTAAATATATAAATGTGTCGTTAAAACCCGCCACCACCCTACACAGCCAACTAGTAAGGGTTGTCACATAAACAGAGCATGCCAATTCGTCACTAGTACAGCACACTGGTGTGTTGGAGAGCCAAGCCACAACATTTACAATCTGAGTACGACGTTTCGCCAGTGTGTGGTTAATACAAACTTGATTCCTTGAAAAAGGTTTAATCTATTTGGTGTTTGAACATATTAACACCTAATTTATTGCCAGAAAGGGTAAAACCTATTCTTATGACTTAAAGCTTTCGTGACTGCAGGAATTCATATTCTTGAGTCTTTCGGTAAAGTCACGTAGATCGGTTCAAAGAAAATAAAAATAACAGAGAACTGCGACGTTTCGATCGCAACACAAGTGGTCGTCTTCAGGAAGATTTGCAACACAAGTGGTCGTCTTCAGGAAGATTTGCAACACAAGTGGTCGTCTTCAGGAAGACGACCACTTGCGTTGCGACCGAATCGCTTGCGTTGCGACCGAATCGCTTGCGTTGCGACTGAAACGTCGTTGTTTTCTGTTATTTTTTCTTTGAACCTATCTACGTGACTTTACGAAAGACCCAAGAATATACCTATTCTTGTTTTTCATAATTAATTTGCAAATCTTATCCTTGACAATGTGTTTGCAAATAATTTTCTTCCAGATCTAATCAAGAAAAAGCAGTTTCATAAATAAAAAGCATGATGAGAAACCAAAATGTACTCAAATGATGACTTGTAAAAACAATAGCGAACAAACATCGATATAGCACTTCCACCGTCCCCACTTGGGAACAAATGAGGGCACATTGCTCAGTCAACCTCAGGTCTATCACAATGTCACTTCCTGCCACATGGACACAGATGCTAATTTGCCAGACTGTCCAGACCAAAGCCAATCATGTGGCAACCCGAGAAGTTATGATTTCTTTAAATCAAAATTGAAACTAAACGTTTACAAACGTGTTAATGATGCAAGTCAGTGTAGTGTTTTAGTGTTTCATCATTCAGCACGTCTGGTGCTTTCCATTGTTCTCATACGTGTCTTTTTCTGTCTCCCTCCTTTAGTAAGCTTCCTAAACCCACCTTTAGGATGTAAGTACCTCTGCCTCTGCTTTCCTGAGATGTCACAGCATGCGGACAGCTTACACTCTGGCCTTTAAGAACCACATGTGCATGCGTTGCTCTTCCCTCTCACTAATATGTTGTCAGCGGTGCTCCGTTGCTCTGCTGCAGAATTGGCATTTTGTTTCACAAACAACACCAAATGGTATCAAGCACGCTCTCCACCTGCAAATAGTGTGCATTAGCCTGTGCTGAACATAACATAAGTGGCATTATGCAGCACTTCCATCCCCTGTGACTCTTTCTGTTTGTCTTCCTGTGGCCTGTTCAGAGTGCAATATGACAGACGACCAGGCACCTGCGAGGGCTTTCCGCACACCCGTGCACACTCGTCTGTACTGACACAGACATGCATTATTGTTCACAACTCCACACCGTTATTAAGAATCCGACTGATATAATTACGTCCAGATCACTTACAGAGTCTATATATGTGGGGGCCACACACAATCTGTCCATTAATACAAAGCACCACTGGGCCTGAAGGAGCCTAGAGTTTAAAAGGCAAATGTGATGCCAGAAAGGCGTCATGAGCCAGACGATTGTTGGTGCTGCCATTGTACAATCTGCTGCTGTCATGCATCTTCTTCTAAACCAAAATATAATTCGATGAAACTCAACATATTCGTCGATCACACAGCCCTAAAAGGAAAATATATACACTAGGCGTGTATTTCGAGCAATGGCTTTTTTTCATAGCACACGCATAAAACAATTGTTTCATGAGATCGGCTGCTCGGATAATAGTATAAACGATTGTGTACAGCAGAGTGGATCACTGCATAGAAGCTGAGTGTACACCACATGCTACGATGTGAACGAAGATGATTGTACAGTGACCGTCGTTGTATGTTTATATTACACCCTCGACCCATGCTTAGACCTGGTTTGTGTGCCATCATCATCATCGAGTTCATGGTCTCTCACCGATGATTATATTAATACATAGATCTAAGATATGGCTGGTTAATTCCACACTAAGTACTAATTTGCCTTATGGTTATTGAATTTTTTTATACAATATGTAAATGTTTGACCATTACATTTTTGTGGTAAGGGCATATACTTCCTTTAATCCGCTTCATAATAGGTTTAGAGAGTTTCAAGAGGACCTACATGTCTTGGTCAAGATCTCAGCCGACATGACCATCAAGAGGCCAACGCTTTGGTTTGTTGTTTATGCCTGCCACGTCCTTAATCCCCTGCTGTTCATTAAGGGCCTTGATGATGGTGACTAGAAAAAAAAACCTCGGTAGACTTTAATAATCAAAACCATCTGTCAATTCAGTACCACGGGAATTGGTGCTGCTGCCCACTTCTGCCTTGTTGGGCGTGTGACATCCCATCCCTGAGAGAGCTGTGATTGGAGCGATGCAACAGGGAGTCACCGAGTAGCAGTTTGTCCAGTGGTATCTCTGCATTCCATGGCAGTGTTTAGGGGTGGACATGCCCAACAAACGTTTTGAAAACACAGAACTTGGTAGAATTCTCACACTGTAGAATTCCCTTCCATCATCTCCATTTCCCAGCTCTTACAGCCGGCGGCGAGTTGTTAACTACCTCGCCTGGTATAAAGGAGGTCGTTGGTTCTATCTCCACCTTGACGCTTCTATTTGGAGTTTGCGCGTCTCTCTCTCTGTGGTTTCGTGGATTTTTCTTTGGGTCCTCCGGTTTTCCCTCCACACTTAGAAACACGCGTTTAGAGTATTTGGCTGATATACATTTCCACATAATAAGCCACTTCGTTGATTTATCATTTGTGGCCAGGTCGCTTCTAAAAAAAAAGCTATATAGATCAGTGGGCCTTACCTGGTAAAATTAAAAAAAATAGTTTAGTTTACATTAACCTTGCTCAATTCAAGAAACACGTGGCACCCTTGTCTGTTACAACGTTGATAGTGCTGTTTGTTGCTGACCGCTTAACGTTTTGGAAATTGGGCCTGTGTGCAGCAGCTGTGTTTAAAATACGCTGTCTCGATGCCCCCAACTAAAAATACTGGTGGTTTATTATCTTGCAGGAGGTAAAAGCACAGAGTTGGTGGGAAAATTTATTATTTCCAACTCTTCGTGGGATTACATGAATGTTGAGTGTAGAGTTAATGTGACAATGTTTTAATGTGTAAACCAGTTGTTCCCAACATATGGTTTGTGAACACGTGGTCCGGAAGGCCCTTGTGTTGCAGCTCATATGATTTAGAGTCGTTTTGATGTCGGTGATGGTGCCTGGTGGTGAGGGTGGACGGTGGTTCGCGGGTCCAGAAAGTTGAGCACCGCTGGTGGACAACGCAGCTGCACAAAGCCCTGGCTTATTCGCGTGACATATCGTGGCGTGCACTTGTGTTTGTGCGTGGGGCTGCAGCTTTGGCTTTGACAAGGCACGGGAGCGCGAGACCAAGCAGGTTGTGTCTCGCCGTGGCTCAGACACGCAGCCCTTCCTGCGCAGTCACAACGGCAAGGCTAGCGAGCGCCGCAGTTTGAGAGTGAGTGCCCAGCACGATACGTAAACCTGGCTTTCCTCGGAAGACAATTCCGTATAGCCAACGTTAATATATTGTGGATAATCGTAATGCTCACATAGCGCCCGTAGTATAACGGTCAGCACACTGGACTTCCAATCCAAAGGACGTCGGTTCGGTTCTATCTCCTGGCGCAGCAGTTGTAACAACGGTGCAGGTGTCTTAAATCCCCATCGCACACTCAGCGGTGTAAATGGGTTCAACCAGGTCGCGTGTCGTGGGGTAAAGTTTGTATACGCCCAAATCTTCGAACACATCTGGTCAAAGTAAAAGGGCAGACCAAATGCCCTCGTGAGGCATTTCTGAGGCACTTCCGCCAGCGGTGGCGTGAGCCAGTAATTGCAGGACTGCACCTCTACCATGTATTTTCCTGTTTCGTATGATGTGAGTAGCGTAACAGCGCAACTCAGGGAAGGCCAGGCTTGACGTAGATGGTTAGTCGTAGCTTTTATTTAACCAGGAGACGAAATAAGTCCATTGAGACACATTACACATGGCCTCATTTGCAAGAGCGGGTTGGTGATAGTGATCTGATAGTAATGATGCATCTCTGGGTAAAAATACGTTGAGTAGTAGAAGTAAGGACAATATATATAAACAGAAAAAACCCCGACAGGCACAGCCACAGCTGCTTGAACATGGAACGCACTGAATTATACCACCAATCACAACCTGTTTCAATCCGTAATTAAAACTCACGTAAAATTTACAACATTGAGAGTGCATTTTTCATGAACCAGCGCTGTCCTCCACCTCATTATTTATGAATTTCTTCATCTGTTTGGCTGGGTGTTATATTTATTGTATAAATGCATACTGTATAAGTTATAGATGTTAAAAGTGTGTATTTGTGTCGTTATGTCACTTGACACCATGGACAACTTTGCAAATGAGATGTTACAAGGGTGATTCCAGGTGAAATAGTTAAATGAATATTATTTAATCAGTGAAGCAAGGGAAAAGCAGCCAAACACAGCTGCTGTATGTAAAACGCAATACAAAAACAAGTAAAATATGAGCTTACTTGCTTTGATATTCTTGATGAAACATTTGCAGCGATACCTTACATAGTGAGTTGTACGATCGAGATGTCATCGTGGCCAAAGCCGTCGATGCCACCGCACCTCGCCAACGATTTCTACCTCCGCCAGATCTCCACTTTTGTAAAGTCGAGACACGTAACCTCCAAGCTCTGCCCTGACCGTCTCCCATCATTCGGTCTTAGGTCTACTCTTCCCTTTGGTCACAGAACTCGTGGAGACCACTTAAATTCGCATCTTGGCAATCTGTCCCTCCCCCATCCCCCACACGTGCCCCTCCCAGCACAACCGTTTTTCCTTACCTTGTTTATAACACTCACCAAATGGCACGTTTGCTTCCAGACATTTGCATGGCTGAGCCTGTCTTGAGCACCAATTTCACAGACTTAATATAGTAATGTAACAATATGGTGTGACTGCAGAGTGCTGACATTTACATCACCGTTGAAACACGTTGTGCTTTTCTGTTGTGTGCATGTCCACCAGGCTTCCCTGGGGCTCAGCATTAGCCAGAAGTACGACCAGGAGACGGGCGTGTGATGCTGGAGCACACCACTCCGCCAGAGACACGACTGAGGGAGAGGACTCTTCACTTGAAGCACGTTGCCCTCCAGCTACCGGGCACTGCAGCGGAAGGCTCCAATCAGAGTTCTTCATACTTAATGGACACACATGACACTGTTGGCCATGGTGAAAGTGTTGGGGTTAGTGGAGGCTGCATACGAGAAGCAAGAAAGTAAGCTTGTGAGACTTCAAGGTGTTCATTGGTAATAGGACTGCAACACTCAAGCCAATTGGACAAGTCGAGGCCCAGCAGTGTTGGTGACCGGTCAGCTCAGGCCTTGCATGCACTGGCTCCTCTACAGAGTTCACTGACCAACGCCTGTGTGCATACTCGTATTACTGTACGTGACTAAGCAGTGGTCAAAATGTAAACGTAGAAGCGCTGGTATAAAACCTCTTAATCACGCAGCCCATGTTTACTCCATTTTCCCCTCTGTGGAAACAGCGTAATATTGGAATTGGGACCGTTCTGAGAAGTGTCGGTGAACGTGTTTTAGTGTTCTGAGCAGTGCCCGTGTGGCGTTCCGTCACATACCGGCTCGTATCCAAAACTGTGATTAAGTACAAACACGTGGTGAGTAAAACTGGCTCTGTTTTTTTCACTGTCGAGAGGAACGTTGTGATTCTTTAAGAAGGCCACTTATCTGCAACACTTAGGTTTTATTCGTACTATATTTGTTATTTTAACTTGACCAGTATGTGATCATAGAAGCAGCAATGTAACGTACAGGAAGAGAAGACGAGAGAACGGAAATGTCACATTTCTCAGTTCCTCTCAGAGAAACTGTTCCTGTTTTTAATCAAACTTACATAACCCGTTTTTAATGACCTGTTTTTAATCAGGTTACAAACTTACGTACCCCAACAACGTTGATTATTACGATTCTGTCTGGGTTACCTGGAACTCCATTTTACGTGAATACATTAAAATTTATCATCGTGGAGAATATAACGAACACATTAAAGAGCAGACAATACACACTTTTCCCATATCTGCCCCTTCACAAGATTTATTTTTGATTTTTTGACGCATCCCATCAGCCACACGGCTTTCTGGAAGTGCATAATTTCTGTAGCATTGATTCAGCACAAGAAAACTGGACCAATATTGATATTCAGTGTCTCATCAATATAGGCAGTCTCACTTGAACGTTGCTGGTGGACTGCTGCCAGATATTTCTCGGAAATCTCCCTCTGTTAGAAGTGGGGCCTGGCCGTATTGTCTGCTTATTTATTTGCAGATACACTCCCGGTGTCACCTGATCTACAGTATACAATCAAAATACAGCAACAGTTATGTCTTTATTTTTATAAATATACGTATTTTATGTTTAGCACAGATAATTATAATTAGTGGATAGAACTGCTACAGAAATATAGTCCATACTTGGTCAAAAGTGAATGTTATATGCACAGGAAAGTTCAGGTGTCATCATGGTCTTCGGCTTTGGCCATGATGACATCTTCATCCTGCGCAATGGAGGAGGGAAGGGGTTGAGGCCTCCGTGTTCAAATTAGTTTTCTAAAGTGAAAACTCAATTTCTTTAGAACTGCTTGTTGTGTTTAGTTGGTTATCCTTCCCCCGCGCCTCCGATGAGCACGGTTGGCTAAGTACAGTGTGAAAGAAGTTCAAAAACAACAACATACATTAATCTTGCGCAATGGTGGGTGCAAGATTTGAGGCCTTCGTGTTCAAGGAGGGTGGCAGGATTATTTTGGTAAAGTCCCAGCCATGCTTGACATCCATTGGCAGCTTGTATGAATAATGATCGTGTGGTAATGAATGACTTCGTCTCCACTGGTATGTAGCTAATAAATCTGGCTTAGCGTTGTCAGTGCTCATGTCCGATGTGGTGAGACGTACACTGTGCTGGCCTGAGTCGGAGTTGGCTCCAGGGTCAGAACCCATAGGCATGGCTGGTTCCTCCACATGCAGGGCATCAGATTTACCTTATGTTTACATTGTGTTAATACCACTAATCTGTTACCTCATGTAAATGCCCTTTCAGAATGTTTAATAGTTCCACTCTACCCACTGTTCATTACCAGATTTGACGCAGTTTTTATACCACGCGCGACCTGGTTGAAACCACTGTGCACGGAATAAGGTGATCACATTGTGTGGTTTGGACAGGTTACAGTTTTATTTTTCACGTGTAACACAATGGGGCTTTGATTAAAGACACTCGTTTTGCCTAATACTCTGATTCAAGTATTAGCTATTTTATTCAAAAATTATTTTCATGGTATTTTTAATACATTAAAAACTCAACTGTTATCTGCTGAACCGTCATCCTCAATATTCATGATTTCTTAACCAGCCAAGTGACTGGTAGGGCAAGTGGCTCCCATTCGGAAGGTTGTAAGTTCAAATCCTGTTCGGGGGTTGACTCAAACCATCATCCCTCGGAGTCATTAAATGAGTACCACCTTGTGGGGAAGATTGACAGTGGTTGTTTAATGGATAGACTCACCCCTGCCATGGGAATGTCGAATTTCCACCGCTGGCTTAGGGCTGAAAACAGGAGATGAGCATCGCCTCAACGCTCATTTGGCCACGAAATGACTGACGTTGCCTGGTTCCAGTGGCAGATTAACTGGTTCCAGTGGAAGATTAACACTCAAGTGGTGCAGGTGATGTTCCTCATGTTCCCTTCACAGGAATACTTCCCAGACGTGAAGCTGGAAAGCTCGGGTGGCCCTCACTACACTGCCACGTGGAAACATCGCTCCAGTGTTGACATTCGCAGTGAAATGTGGACACTGTTGTGTCTGAACATGCAGCACGCTTTGCGGATAACAGGAAACCTATGGCCCCTCCTGGCCCTCTTTCCAATGTATTCAAAGATATTCAGGATTCCACTGTCATGTGAAGGTAAAGGTACACATCTTTCTATGAGTTGCTTATAAACAATGACATTCTATCTGCAAGGTCATGCCATGTGAATACAGCAGGAGTATACATTTTGTGTTAAACAGTTGCTGATTCCAGACCCAAAATCCAAAAATGTGGCCATCAACAAATAGCACTAACAAAGTTGAAATAAATTTGTTAACTTATTTATTCCATTCGGGAACATTATTTTAAGAGCTTCGGAAAAAATATGATGGGAGGGAATTCCATAGTGGACAATGTGAAGAAAGAAGTAAAAGAGAAGTGGTGTGACCTCGTCGCGAGTCGTGGAAATAGTCGCGACAGATGCCTGATAAAGAGACGCCGGACCACCAGTGAGTGAGCGAGTGACTAAAGTTAATTAGTGGCTGCTGGATCAACCGTCAACCTGACTGCTTTGCTCTGAATTCAATCAAGTATAGTGAAGTGGGAACTGGGCGTGCCACCCTAGATATCGCAACAGCATTCCAACTCTCGCCGAATCTCTGATTTCTATCGTATTCATTGTTTGGAGAGAAAGAGGCTTTCATGGGGAAAAAAACGAAGCTACTTCAATGCCTCCTCAGCTGAATTATTAATACAGCCATTCCATGGCAAGTCAGATGAGAATATAGTTGTGGCCAGACATGCAATGATGTCTCAACTGATGTCACGACCTCCTGGCTCAATGTATTCTCCGGTCAATAACAAGATTGCCCTCGCCACCTTTGAGGTTCTCCATGGACTGGCCCCCACCTACCTTTCCCTTCTCACTCTGCTCCACACACCAAGGCCTTCCTTCGGTCAGAAATCAGAGTCGACCGCCACTCAGTGGGAGGGCACTCTTCCACAGTTGCCCCTGTCTGGAATGTCCCGTTGCTAGCCATGCACGCTCTAGAGGCCCTTCTGCCTCTGACTATTTTCTATTAATGCGCCTCCTTCCCATTGTCTCACTCGATAAAATAAAATAATAAGTATTCTTTTACACAACTAATCATCTACACAGCCTTCTTGGAGAGATGTACATTTAAAAAAAAAATATATATATTTGGCGAGTCATGTAGGTATGTTTAACTTCTTTTGCACCGTAATTAGCCAACCGTGCCAATCTGCGTATGTTTTTATTACTTATATTCTCCATAACGACACTAATTGTTTTCATTTGCAACATTACAATACATCGTTCCCCTACCTGCCCAGAAACCCCTACCATCTAGCACCCCATAAATCCTGACACACAAATCCCGTCCATGTGCGTGTCCCTCGTGTACCGCGTGTTGGGATGTAGTTCCAGTTAGACACTTTATAAGTCCACGTGGCTTTAGTAATTTGTACCCATTAATCAAACGTGGCTTAGGCAGTAGGGCATTGGTAATAGTGATGGATGAAGTTAAATCCCAATCTGGGTACAAACGTAGCTCTGGTGTTGTATTTGTGTGTATCTGTGGAGTAAAACGAGACAAGTGACAGGGGGCTTCTTATGGGTAGTCATTTGGAATTGTCATTGGAAATGTGCATACAGTTTAGATGAGTTTATATCAGATGGAATTCCTTTACATCTTATATTTTTCCAAACACTTATAACCCTGTTCAGTCAAGTAATCGAGTAATGTTGAACTCTTATCTGTTACAGCTTTGATGGTGCTGTTTGTTGCTGGCCGCTTATATTGTGGGCCTGTGAGCCTGTGCTGAACAGTTGTGTGAAAAACCTGCCCTTTTACTCTTTTGTAAATTGGCGCAATGTTGTTAAACCGGAGGTTTAAGTGAAAAATACCAAATGTGAGTTGACACACATCTTGTGCCTCCGAGCCCAACCTATTCACTTCCCCAATCAATCTCCTCCCCCAATCGCTGCTAAAAAGTTAACCTTTAAATTTCATACAAATAATGGAAATTGTCGATATAGTAATTTTATGATATTAATTAAACCTGTCTATTTTAACCTAACTTTTCTCCATCCAGGATGTCCTTGTAAGGCTAAGTTCAATGTCCATTACACAGACAAAGTTACTAATTGAAGATGACAACGCATTACATTTTAAATAAACTAATATTTTGGATGCTAGACAAACATCTGTTCCATTTTCGATGGGGTACAGTGAAATAAAGCCACATGTACCAAGAGTGGTGCAATAAATGCTCGCTTCAGAGGCATACATCGTAATAACCATGACAATCTATGTCAGTCCACGGTGTTGACTGACGCATACATAGCGAACACAAAAGAACACGTGTAGAAACATTTTAAATCAAGAATGTATACATCCATAATAGAGTTTTTTTAGTTCTTTCGGTAAAGTCACGAAATAACCAAGAATATTAATCCCTGCAGTCACGAAAGCTTTAAATACAAATTTAGAGTTTTTTAGGTTAGATCCCGTTAATGTGTCGTTAATAACCGCCACCACCCGACACAGCCAACTAGTAAGGGTTGTCACGTAAACAGAACGTGCCAATTCGTCATTAGTACAGCACTAACCGGTGTGTTGGAGAGCCAAGTCACAACATTTACAATCTGAGTACGACGTTTCGCCAGTAATTACAACCAGCTTCATCAGGCGACAGCCAGATTTGTGGAGAAGTCTTAACTGTTTCGTTCCTTATATAGAGGCGTAGATGTGGTGACCACGCTTCTGCGCTATTGCGCAATGTGGGGGGGGGGGGGGGGGGGATTACTGAGGCAACGTACATTACGCATGTTCATCATGCATGTACGTTATGCGAGCCCTTTGAACTTGTCCTTCCTGTCTATTGTGTTTATTAAAATAGCCCTACCAACGGTAATCTCTATTGAAGTACGCTGCCTTTTATAGGCATGCATTTAAATAATGTATTATTTGATGATTCGCTTCCACGCAGCACTAAGGCGGTAGCTATCTGAACGGGTGGTGGCGGGTTTAACGACACACATTTACGCGGTCTAACCCAAAAACAAATATATTATGGATATTGGCGCGAAAGCCTACGTGTTAAAAAGAATGTATTCAGTTTGAATTTACACAATTAATATCAACCAGTCAAACAAATAAAATATTGATACGTGGTGCTCACCCCTGGTTATGTAGAATGTCCTCTAGCTGTCATCTGTACCCAGAAATGCTCTTTCCAAATGTCTGCGTCTCATGCATTCGCTAATTGCGCCATTCACTGATTGGTCTTCACCAAGGGGCCCAGCCGCACTCGCGGCAGGGTCTGCGCGTGCCATGGGAATGAGTTCGCTGTGACAGACAGCAGTGGAACGACGGGGAACAGTTCGCTGTAGAACGTCAACACAACATCATTTAGCGTCATTGTGGAGAATTTAAGAACCACTATAAATGAGCAGCCATCATCCTTTCCATAGCTGGGCCACCACATTAAAATAAAAGTACGTTTTACACATCCCATCAGCCATACAGCGAATCATTTCAACAGCTTTGATTCAACAATGCTGTTGAAACACTGAATGTTGAAACTGGTCCAAAGTTTGCATGTGTTGAATCAGTAGTCCTGAAATTATGCTGTGTGGCTGATGAGATGTGGAGGGATAGATATGGGAAGGAGCGTCGTGTCTGCTTCTTGTTACTATTCAACAGAGACGTCGGTACGACAGGAACATCGTGAGCCAAATGTCCAATGGGCTGAAGTGGCTGCTTCGGCAGCAACTCCTACAATAATTTGCGGGCAATCTTGTTGTTCCCCACGTATCCCTACGGGGACTTATGCTGTGACAACTTCTGGCAGGTTTCTTTAGCTAAGAACATGGAGAACAATTCACTTTCTAGCTATTATAGGCTTTTGAAAGTCCCTGAGTGCTGGCTGACTTACTGAATGTATCATAAGCCAGGGGGGAGTGTGTAAAGCAGTACTTTCAATTAAATGCATTTAACATTTAAATATTTAGTTTTAAAAGTGAACGGAGAGAAGAGTATTTATCTGAATATTTTGTAGTGCAGCAATGGAATGGTGTGCAACTTTTACATACAGAGAAGACAATATCGACAGCTTGAGCACTCACTCATGCATGGTGTCTCCTGTCCCAGATTGGCTACCGTTTGCACTAAATGTCGGGTAGTAGACGCTCGCACTGGGGTGAAGTTGTTTCGTACGGTCATAAATAATATCAGCACTGTTGCAGGCAAAAAAAAACACTGTGTATAACATCAGTGCTTAATTTGTACATATGTAATTTTTACAAATTATACAATATAATAGTTTTCTGATGAAATATTAAGAGGAACTCTTACTGCCACGCAAACACGTTGCTCCATGTAGGCATTTTACTTTACAATTTGTTTATGTTTGATGTAACACGATATGGGTGCAGGCTTGTTTAAAATAACCACAACATTCTACAAGGAGCTGGATCCATACCTGAAGACCAGGCGTATTGTGCATATTATGAATCAAAAGCCCGTGTGGATTTAATATGAATATATGTATGGTATACGAACTGTTATTAGTCAAAGTACAAACCCTCCCAATACTTATTTTGCTTAGTTTGAAACTGCTATGTATATGCAATATTGTTCTGCTCTACGCTTTCTTAATTCCATTAACAGATAGCAGATATAAAATTACACATTCCGTGAACTCCACGGCCTTCTGTGAGTGAATAATTTCAGCAACATTGGTTCAATACAGGAAAACTGGAATGAGTCCAAAATGTATTGTCCCATCAGAAGAGTCAATGTTGGTGAACCGCCAGAGATTTGTAGGCATGGAACGCTTCTGAGATTTGGGTCCTCGTTTGACACAAAACTATATAATACTTAACACTCATTCGTATCATTGTGGAGAATATAAACATAATAAGTAATTAATCAGACAAGATATTTTATTTGACCTATTTAGCCTTCCACGTAAAACAATAATAAAAGTATATTTTACACAACCCATCAGTGCGAAGGAGGTGTATGGTTTGCTTATTTATTTTGTTACTGATATTCTCCACAGCGACGCGAATGATTATATTGTGTTTAATTATCTTGTGTTTAATTATCTTGTGTTTAATTATATTGTGTTTAATTATATTTCTGAGATCGGTGGGTCCCGACCTACGGTCTGCACGCCGCTGTGGCTCACGAGGCCCTGGGAAGTGGTTTGCCAAACTGTTGTAGATTTTTTTTTCCTCAAAACAGCACATTTGCTTTACTGTATGGTAGTTTTATAAAAAAAAATGTGATCGTTGATGCTTATCTACGGGTCCAGAGACGTCTGGAACCACTGATGTGGATGGTGAAATTACATCACTCTTACAGCTACTTTTTGTGTTCTAAACCAATGTGTTGCTCTTTCCAGAATGTCTCCTACATACTCCAAGGTTATTGTGATCAAAAATATCATTTTTATTGGCTATGTCTTAGAAAGAATGAGAAACACTCAAGAGGTGTGCTGGGATTACCATTGATGAATAAACATCGAGCAGCATTCTCTATAATGTGCACACTTTCCATGGTGCTGCTCTGTTCTCATCATGAGCTGTACTTGTGAGCAAGCATCCATGTAACATTGTTTCTATGCAGGAAGAGCCTTGTTTGGAGGCGGTAGCATGCACAATATATACACACTGTGTCAGGCTTGTTCACCTACATTGAAACGCATAACAGCGAAGATGTTGGCAAGGTGCAGCCACAATCAATCCACTGCTGGATGAACACATTTATGTCTTCACCATCATTCATGGTCTTGCAATGCCGTAACCAGCTCGCTCCAACACGTGAGCTCACATCATCGCTCCATCTCTGCAGTAGTTGGACTCTCGGTCTTGTTTTCCTCCTTTATCTGACATTCATCACCAGTCTTGTCCATCAAGTATTTTATCTCGCCTCTTATGTGTCCTGCCTAAGCACACTTTGTATATCAGTCAAGATGTCTCTAATATGTGTTCTGCTGTCTCCCGGTCGAATTCCCTGCATGATTCTTGCATCACTTTTCAGGTTTTGTTCTGATTTTTTTTTTTCACTGCCCATGTTTCTGATCCATCTCATATTAGGAAATATGTACTGATTGAACATGTCCCTCGAGACTTGCTTATACCAAACGCAATTCCACCCTGCCCGCACTCACCTCTTCATGTCATCGTGGTGATCGCAATCTGACTTGAATAATTTACGTAATCTGTTGTGTTTTCCAGTTGTATCCTTCCAACCATTATTTGACAGGGTGCTTCAAAAAAATGGTAACACTTCCGATAATTTGCAACGATGCCACGAGAAACGTGCTGCCTCCGGGCTCTGGAGGGCACCTGGAGAAGATTCCAGGCACGTGTTGACAATGATGGCGAACAAGTGGAGACTATTTTACTTTTTGAAGCGATTAAGATACATTTGTTATGTTACAGTATATTATCCGTTCTTTTTCCCATTAAAAACGATAGTCCTGTACAAGTGTTAACCTTTTTGAAGCACTCTGTATTTGATTAAGCGCAGTTGCCGTATGATATGTTATGCTCAATTATCTTTCGCCCAGATTCTCCACCGTTGCTAATTTCTTCCATCAATGACTCTAGTTCATAACCATTAGTTGTTATAATGACGATGCCGTCAGTATATCCGAGATGGTGAATGTATTATCTTATATTCTCGGTTCTTTCGGTAAAGTCACGTAGATAGGAAACAAAAATCAAAATGAAAAGCAAAAAACACCTGAAGAAGACCGCTTGTGTTGCGATCGAAACGTCGTGGGTTTTTTGCTTTTAATTTTTATTTTTGTTTTCTCTCTACGTGACTTTACCGAAAGAACCAAGAATATGAATTCCTGCAGTCACGAAAGTTTTAAGTCTAAATAATGTATTATCTTTAAGCCTTAATTTCTCCAATCCAATTTGTATAATCTAATGTTGCTGTGGACAACCATCCTGAAACCATACCTCGTACCCAGACTCCTCTTCTCATTTGTATCTTGCTAATTTCTACAGCCAGTCTAAGTTTAGCAATTACTTCTCTATAAATGGTCTTGATATTTGATATCTATTTTTTATTAAGTCTTTGGATTGTGAGAGTTTAAAAGAATAAAATTAATATTTATTTATTCTATGGGTCTTTCGGTAAAGCCACGTAGATTCCTGCAATATTTGTAGAGAAGCTCTCTCACCTGGAGACGATTGCTTGTGTTGCGATCGAAACGTGAATTTTGTATTATTTTTCTATCTACGTGGCTTTACCGAAATACCCATAGAATATGTATTCCTGCAGTCACGAAAGCTCTAAGTCAAGATTCATCTTTATTGTCTACAAACACCAGGCATTATGTTTTTTTATATTAATTTGTATTTTCTAGAATCTGATTCATAGTCAATGTGTGGTAAATATTAGAACATGATTTTTTTTGTTATAAATACAGCTTGCTCACATCATTGGCCTCTTAATTGTCCATTATATGGTTTCCTATTATCATCGTGAAAAATGTAAAGTTTATTTTTAATGGCGTCATTCGTGCAAATTGCATCTCAAAACACCGCAGTAGGATTTGTAACGTGGACAGATTTCTCACTGAGGTGCGGGAAAAGTACAGACAAGCTGAAAGGCAACTAGAACCAGTATCAACAATTACCCAAGCTCTATGTCCTGTGTTAGGATGTTTGGCCTTCCCCATTAAACAGGTCCCTGCAGGGTGGGCTGGTAGGACAAGTCTCTGCGCTGTCTATTGCTGATTTTACACCCAACAGCACGAGATTTCACTTCGTTAAAGTATTGAAAGGGGACGGACGGACGGACACATTAATCTATTGCAGGCTGGTACACTCAGTTTACAACTTCGTTCCTACCAGTATGAGTGTTTTATACATGTGGGAGGACACCTGGAGGAAAGTCACGTGAGAGAGGGGAGGGGGGATAACACCCAATTCCCAAACAGATGGAGGAGACATGGAAATTCACCCACTTGTCCTGCCATCATACCCTGGCAAGCCAGGAGATGGCACCATTTGGTAGGAGCTGGGGAGTTTCACCAATGCGTGGTCCATCAAAGCTCAGCTTCACACGCTGCTGGATCGCAGGCGTCTGCAAACGTGCTGATGAGATGTAAATGGATCAGAAATATTGATAATCAGTTGTCTTCTTTTCAATAGAAGACAGATGTATTGCATCGTTCCAATATTGAGGCATTTCTTATTGGTATTGAATTAAATACGTCTGCTAATTTTGAATCAACAGCTGGTCCCATTATGTTGAAGTTCATTGATTGCACATGGCATACAGCTCTCCATTTAATTCATATTGCAAATGGCAGTGGTAAATGCTCTTTTAACAACACTTCTACACTCCAATACTTCTACACTCCTATAATACTTCTATAAAACTTCTAGACTCCTACAACACTTCTATAAAACTTCTACACTCCTACAATACTTATCGTTTACTTTCTTACTTTGCCCATTACCATCAATGGACTATCTATAACAATGTTATTTATTCATTCTTTAAAGTGGTGACATCCGTTTAATCATTTTCGTGAGGAATTTGAATCTGTTGCTTAGAATCAGTTTTACTTCTGCTACCTCCTGATCTAAGTTTTTGATATTAACTATGTTGTTTTACTTGCATTTAGGTCTGTCTTCTGATGATATTGGAGAGTAACTTGCATCACCCCAGCCTGTGATCACTGTGATGAAATGTTCTGAGGACAGAAATGTCCTATGTGTTGTAACAATCAGGCATTTAGCTAATCACACAGTGCCACTGCTGTCAGGTTTCTTTACAGACAGGAAAGCATTGACCGTAAAGCCTGGGAGCCAGGGAGGAGGTAGCGTTGTGGTGCCTGGGAGCCAGGGAGTAGGTGGCGCTGTGGTGCCTGGGAGCCAGGGAGGAGGTGGCGCTGTGGTACCTGGGAGCCAGGGAGGAGGTGGCGCTGTTGGTGCCTGGGAGCCAGGGAGGAGGTGGCGTTGTGGTGCCTGGGAGCCAGGGCGGAGGTGGCGCTATGGTGCCTGGGAGCCAGGGCGGAGGTGGCGCTGTGGTGCCTGGGAGCCAGGGAGTAGGTGGCGCTGTGGTGCCTGGGAGCCAGGGCGGAGGTGGCGCTGTGGTGCCTGGGAGCCAGGGAGTAGGTGGCGCTGTGGTGCGTTCCACTCCTATCCGGCGGTGTGTACTTGCACAAACTTAAAGAGAATATGAGTTAACAAATTTAGCATGCCATTTGTGTCCTAATTATATATATTGTATATAACAATGTCGAGGAAGTAATTACTTGTACATAAGATTTAAATTAATTTACATGCAGGCTAATATTTAACGTTATTCCTGCGAGCGAGCGAGTAGGCAGAGTGCCGATGCAAGTGGAACGCTGCTACTGCTGCTCATGATTCCCTGACCCATTACCTCTCGGACAAATACGATGCGTAGTGCGTTCCTTGTATCTTTACCAAGGAAATTCTGTTATGTATTGTTCGTGTAGGATTTTTGTGTATATATATTTTTAAACACTGGTTTTAATGAAAACTTGGTAAATGCTGCAGAAATCTCCTATAGTTGTATGATATTAGGGTTTAACACCTGTCCGGTGTTGACAGTCCAGGAATTGGCATCTGTATTCGAGTGGCAAGGATTGAGTTGTACTGAGATCTGGTACCGGTGTTGTATTAAACTTGATTCCAGTGTACTGCACAGTTTTGATAACAGACCTAGACTGATGGAAATATATCCGGGTTTGTTCTGTGGAAAGGTTGGCAACCCTAAGTAGAGTCCTTAAAGGACTTTGCGAATCCAGCAGTCTGCACGAGTCTATTCCAATGCGTTTTTGAGCGGGTTATTAGTGTCGCTGCCTAATCATGATTCGGGCTTATTGGCAAAGATGAATTTAAAACTGAAATAAAATGTTTTAAACTCTGTCTGCCTTCTGCACACTTACAAATGCTATATTATTTTTAAAGAAAGTAGGTGGCTCCATTGTGAAACATTTTCATCGTGCAGCCCATGGCACGAAGTGTTATCCTTTGGCGAAAGATTGGACTGGTGATCACATCAGCATGGAGGCACGTCCACATGCCTTGAAAAAACAGTTGTTTGGAAGTTTTAAATAACTCCAATAACTTATCTTCTCAGAACAATATTCACGGAAGCACCTCTGACATCCCAATCCCAGTAATTGATGAGTGTATTTTTATGATTTGCATGTGTCCTCTTATCCATGTGGTTCTCTTCCTGTCTCTCGGTTTCATTTCCAGCATGCATCTCCGCATGCATGCCATCTAGCAACCCTCATGATCAACTACAAGTCCTCAATGACTTCAATATCACAGTGGTACCCACTGTACCAGTCACGAAGGTGTAATCGGAAACTACAGCCCTGTGCGCCCGAACGGAAATCATGAACGTCTCCTTGTGTGAGCTTACTGGTCAACCTACCCATCACGGGCTCTTCAAGAGGAAAGTCGTAAATCGCCTCACCTGATGACCATACATAAGAGAAGGAAATCGACCACATGCTGACCATGGACCCCCTCGCTGTTCACACAATTCGGGTGCACAGAGGCACTGAACCACCACCAGCAACCTCGGAGCACCGTCTGGTGCTCGAGCTCGACCCACTTCGAGACTCGATGTCATACTGCTCTCTGCAGACGATTGCAATATTCTTCTTGGTTCTTTCGGTAAAGTCACGTAGAATGGAAATAAAATAATAAAAATAAAACATAATAAAATAAAATTCTCACGACGTTCGGCCACAACACAAGTAGCCTTCCTCAGGTGAAGAAACAGAACTGTCGGGGAGACAGTGCTTTAGTGAACACTGCCAAGCTTGGCAGCGTCTTTTAAGCTGGGTGGGAGGAGCAGAGCGCCTTGACGAAGGAGTTTACATATCAACAGAAGGATTTAGCATTGAAATAGCTGTGTTAATGTGTTGGATTAGCAGGATGGTAAAGTCAGAATGTTAGTGAGTAGCATGTCGGTTTCTTTTTTCTTTTCAACGTTAGCACCATGGAAAGCAACGAGCTTTGTTCAGACGGACGAGTACATCTATGTTCGGAACGGAGGAGGGGGGAGAGGGAGAAACAGCCACGATGCGCTGCTCTGTCCTGTGTTGCGTTACAACTATGCTATAAACTAGACTACTATACATTACAATATTATACCTTCCAATCTAAACTACATTGCATAATATCGTATACACAACCCAATGTAAGCTCTAACATTATGCATTATATTGATATTCCTCCAACTAAACTTTTTTCTAAATTACACGATTATACACCGTAATATACACTGCCATAGACAAACCCCACCCTTGAATTATACAATGCGTTACTATACACTGCCCTATACTTTAGACTATAAAATATTAGACTTGTAATATTACACTACGTATTATTCTACCAACCCTACTGTATACCACACTGTTGTATAGTCACTATACAATTACGATACTATATATGTAGTTGTAACGCAACACAGGACAGAGCAGCGCATCGTGGCTGCTTCTCCCTCTCCCCCCTCCTCCGTTCCGAACATAGATGGACTCGTCCGTCTGAACAAAGCTCGTCGCTTTCCGTGGTGCTAACGTTGAAAAGAAGAAAGAAACCGACATGCTACTCACTAACATTCTGATTTTAACATCCTGCTAATCCAACACATTAACACAGCTATTTCAATGCTAAATTCTCTCCCCCCTCCTCCGTTCCGAACATAGATGGACTCGTCCGTCTGAACAAAGCTCGTCGCTTTCCGTGGTGCTGATCTCCCAGTTACATGCTAATTTCTGACTTTAACATCCTGCTAATCCAACACATTGACACAGCTATTTCAATGGTAAATCCTTCTGTTGATATGTAAACTCTTCGTCAAGGCGCTCTGCTCCTCCCATCCAGCTGCCAAGCTTGGCAGTGTTCACTAAAGCGCTGTCTCCCCGACAGTTCTGTTTCTTCACCTGAGGAAGGCTGCTTGTGTTGTGGCCGAAACGTCGTGAGAATTTTATTTTATTTTTTTGTTTTTATTATTTTATGTCCATTCTACGTGACTTTACCGAAAGAACCAAGAAGATGAATCCCTGCAGTCACGAAAGCTTAAAATCGAGATTGCATTATTGTCAAATTAAACATCGAGATGACAAACAGCGTCCAGGCACGAGGGCCCCGCTGGGGCCAGCGGCCCGCTGCTGCACAGCGCGCTCTCTGTGACGTCATTTTCCATGCAACTTCGCTAATGCTCAGTTTAACGCGTAGGCTGTGTCGGGTGGTGGCGGGTTTTACACATTTATATATTTACGCAATCTAACTCAACAACCTTATTATGTATTATGGATCGTTGATGCTGAAAGGCAACGAAGCCGGCCCTGGCTCTCCATGGAGACCATGGCCCACACTGGACCAGAAGCGTGCTGCCTTCCTCAGGGAGGACCAGGCAGAGGAAAAACCGAAGCGAGTCTTGAAAGTAAAGGAGAAAGACTTGGAGGAGACTTGGAGGAGACTTGGAGGAGACTTGGAGGAGACTTGGGAGAGACTTGGGGGAGACTTGGGGGAGACTTGGAGGAGACTTGGGGGAGACTTGGAGGAGACTTGGGGGAGACTTGGGGGAGACTTGGAGGAGACTTGGAGGAGACTTGGGGGAGACTTGGGGGAGTTCTGCGGAAAACTGGCAGAACAAAGGGGCGAGCCCCGAGACTTCTCTGTCACAAACGTGCATGGCAAGAGCTCTCCGAGCTGACGCTTCATCGCCTGGCAGCCGGACCATAGCCTGATCTGGACACGCAGGCATCTGCCTCCACTCCGGCACAGAACGTGTCACCTGATGCCCCAGCACTTGAAGAGGTATTTTTGTTGGTTGCCAAGTGTAGAGCGGTCCCCAGCATGACTCATAATTCTCACTACATTATGCCATGAGATCCTCTAACCATTAGTGCGGTTTCGTCATGTCTGGAATTAGCACACTTTATGCCAATTTAGTACCTCCTAATGGACCTCAACACTTGTGGTACAATGAACCGCAAGGGGATTTAATTCCATTTTAATTGGCAAACGTGTCATTATTTTTAAATATATATTCTACACTATGCGCTCGTGAGCTTTTACATGAAGTAGTACCAATGGTCATGATTATAATTGATAATTGTACAATAATAATTATCATAATAATCATATAATAGAATAAACATTATTACGCACAATTATTGTTGATTGAATACATTTCCAGATCTTTATTAATGAAGAAAAATACTTGTTAGTTTATAATGTATTTAAATTCTCCTAATCTCTATCATTATCAACCATAATATATCCACTGCTGGATGAAGGCCTCCCCAGACCACACTCCATCTCACTCTTGCCATTGTGAATCAAAATAACCCCACAATAAACTCGTATGTACAAAATTACTCTGAATACTGTAATGTTTACAGCAAGGCCGTAGCCATGGAGTCAACATTTGGGGGGACCAAATCTTCCAGGGTGTCTGGGGGTCCCAACCCCGAAAAATATCTTAATTTGAAAACTAATTTCCTGCCTAAAATATTTAAAAATTCACGAACACATGGGATGGACTTTTTATTTATTTTTTACAATAATGTCTAATAGTGTATTGCATTACAACGCTCTGTTTTTACTTTTTTGTTTTACCATTTCTTATTTCATTGTATGCAATGGCAGAGATTAGGGATTAATCAAGTACAACCTTAACCACAATCATATAAACAGAAATCTATGCATTGATTTACATGAAGACACGTCCAGATATTGTGGCCAAGGTTTAGCAAATAGTTGTTTTTATTTACATAGCATAGCAATTATTTTTTATAGCAATATATTGGTGGGGACATTTTGAGCATATTTGAATATTGGGGGGGGGGGGGGATACATCCCCCCCCCACAATCTGATGGTGTGTGTGTGTCTAACAGTCTGATGGTGTGTGTGTCTACCAGTCTGATGGTGTGTGTGTCTACCAGTCTGATAGTGTGTGTCTACCAGTCTGATGGTGTGTGTCTACCAGTCTGATAGTGTGTGTGTTTACCAGTCTGATGGTGTGTGTGTCTACCAGTCTGATAGTGTGTGTGTGTCTACCAGTCTGATAGTGTGTGTCTCTACCAGTCTGATGGTGTGTGTGTGTCTACCAGTCTGATGGTGTGTGTGTCTACCAGTCTGATAGTGTGTGTGTGTGTACCAGTCTGATGGTGTGTGTCTCTACCAGTCTGATGGTGTGTGTGTGTCTACCAGTCTGATAGTGTGTGTGTGTCTACCAGTCAACTAGTGTGTGTCTCTACCAGTCTGATGGTGTGTGTGTCTACCAGTCTGATAGTGGGTGTCTCTACCAGTCTGATGGTGTGTGTGTCTACCAGTCTGATAGTGTGTGTCTCTCTCTACCAGTCTGATGGTGTGTGTGTGTCTACCAGTCTGGTAGTGTGTGTGTCTCTACCAGTCTGATGGTGTGTGTGTCTACCAGTCTTATAGTGTGTGTGTCTATCAGTCTGATAGTGTGTGTGTCTCTACCAGTCTGATGGTGTGTGGGTGTCTCTACCAGTCTGATGGTGTGTGTGTCTATCAGTCTGATAGTGTGTGTGTCTCTACCAGTCTGATGGTGTGTGTGTACCAGTCTGATGGTGTGTGTGTTTACCAGTCTGATGGTGTGTGTGTCTACCAGTCTGATAGTGTGTGTGTCTACCAGTCTGATGGTGTGTGTCTACCAGTCTGATAGTGTGTGTCTACCAGTCTGATAGTGTGTGTGTGTCTACCAGTCTGAGAGTGTGTGTCTCTACCAGTCTGATGGTGTGTGTGTCTACCAGTCTGATAGTGTGTGTGTCTACCAGTCTGATAGTGTGTGTGTGTCTACCATTCTGATAGTGTGTGTCTCTACCAGTCTGATGGTGTGTGTGTCTACCAGTCTGATAGTGTGTGTGTCTA